GGGGAGTGGGAGAAGGAGAAGCAGGCTTCCGCTGAGCAGGGAGCCCGATGCGAGGCTCAGTCCCAGGACCCTGGGATCATGACCTAAGCCGAAGGCAGATGCTTAACGACTGAACCACGCAGGTGCCCCAGAAGTCATAAATTTTTGATGGAAGAAGGGAAGAGTAACATTCATGGAGTCATTTTTGCAGTGTTTTCATTGACTCCTTGCAGCACTCATGTGGGAGAGGCAGGCATTCATCCCCATTTTAGAGGTAAGGCAATCAGTGCCAAATACATCAAGCATCCATCAGTGAAGGGCAGGGCTGGGGCTCAGTCCCCGGGAATCTGACCCAATGCCTAGTTCCTATTGCACCTGACTCCTTCCCATGGGCTGATATTTTTTTTTTTTTAAGATTTTATTTATTTGCGAGAGGGAGAATGAGAGACAGAGAGCATGAGAGGGAGGAGGGTCAGAGGGAGAAGCAGACTCCCTGCTGAGCAGGGAGCCTGACGTGGGACTCGATCCCGGGACTCCAGGATCATGACCTGAGCCGAAGGCAGTCGCTTAACCAACTGAGCCACCCAGGCGCCCTGGGCTGATATTTTTAAATCAATACGAAACCTTTATTTTTCATATTTGGATACCTTGGGATGACCTCTGAGGTGACATCAGAGAAGACATTGGTGCCATTGTCCCAATCCTGAAATAGATGGGTCTCGGATCCAAGGGCTCTGAAGTTGTTATGATTGAGCTGAGTTGCTTTGAGACAGAGTCAAGTGGGTAGATAAGGATAAAGATGTTGTCATGGACAGACTCTAAAAATGAGACTTTCTCCTTTGGAAAGAATGAGAGGGTCTCCCTCAGTGTGGAGTATGAAAGGAAATCCCTCCAGGAGATGGCTTTAGGCTGAAGATATATGAAGACGTTAAAGCAGGGGCACCTGGGTGGTTCAGTTCATTGAGCATCCAACTCTTGATCTCAGCTCAGGTCTTGATCTTAGAGTTGTGAGTTCAAGCCCCGAGTTGGGCTCCATGCCGGGAGGGGAGCTGACTTAAAAAAAAAAAAAAAAAAAGACATTAAAGCATTGGCAATAATTAATGAGGATAGAGCCATAATGAATTACTAAATAGCCTTACGATGTTTTTGAAGTTGCCCTCAAGAAGGAAAACTCTCCCTAAACTGCTCCTCCCTGTTAGTGTCCCAGACAGAACGCTGGCCTGGGTGGCCTTCTCAGATGGTCAGGTGACTCTTCCTAGTATCATGTCAGAAATCCCAACTGAAGGCTGCATGTTTCACACTCTTTTATAGAGGCAGTTCTTTTTTCCAGGATATTTTAACTTCTTGAGGTTAGCTTTTCTTCTAGGCAATTTTTCATTTCTTCTCCTGGCATGTTGTTTATTATTGTCTATGTGTATTGAAAATCAGCTTCTTGAAGTACTACAGTTCGGGTGGCAGGCAGTTCTATCAGGAGGCTCTGCAGCTGCCAGAACAGTTCATTCCTGTACTAAATGCTGGTACAGAGAATGGGTGGAAATAAGTGCTTCTGTTAGAAATTTAGAATGTGTGTTGCATTCTGAGTACCTAGGCAGCTTCCGAAGAGCCAGTGTGCCAGGCCTGCAGGAGGAGGAGTCCGGAGTCATCAGGGCCAAAGACTGGCTGTGAAGGTGTCCCTGATGTTTGGGAGGAGGTTTGGGTGAATTGTCAGTGATACCTGGAGTCTGAACACTTTCACATCCTGGAAATGGAAATCTAATGTCAGCAAATTTGAGGGAGTTGGTTCCTTTCCCATTTTTATGTTATTCCAATCAAGGTCAAGAAGACAAGTTCCAAGTGATGGCAGAATTAAGGACATTTTGTGTGTTATAGTTTGATGTGGAGACATAATGAGTATATTGTTGGCCTATCATTTCCATTGTGTTTTTCATCTCATGAGTGTGTTATGTGGTTTCACCTGTCAACATGATTTGTTCTTTATTAGAGGGAACTGGCATTCCTGTCTCTCACTGTGTTCGTCAGGGACCTCACAAGGTCTTGTTTCTCTGATAGGTGAAGAAGATTGTCGAGGAGCCTGTCCTCAAATCCTTGGATGCAGTCGTAGCCAGCGTGATAGAGGTACATCCCTTCGGGGTCCTGAGATCAGCCTGATGTGAGCATGTGCATGGAGAGAACAGGAAGAGTTTGTGGGTGGGAGCTGGAGTGACAGGGCTGTCAGTGAGCTTTCAGCTTAGCCCCCATAGTGGCCACACAACTGCCACCTGAGAGCTTGCTTGTGCTCCCTCTTTTAAATGGATCACCTCACAGTGATCTGATGGCCGTTTGGCTGTCTTTCTCCTTCTCCAGTTCCTGTAAGACAGCCAAAGTTGCTGAGTTTTCAGCAAGAGGAGGGTGGTTCTTCCCATTAGAACAACATATAAAAAAAAAAAAGAACAACATATGGAGAAACCAGTTTGGAGGGTGCAGGTGGCGGTACCCCAACAGGCATCTCTGGACAGCCTGAGTCTTTAGTTTTCCTCTGCCTGATGCTTAAGAGAGGGAGGAGAGTAATTCAAGTGTTTCAAGTGGTGAATCATGACAAATGGTCATTCCATCTCTCTAATGCTATGTCAGGAATATAATACTCACTCAGCCGGGCCTCACCCTAGAAGGCAAAGGGAGGTCCGGAGAGTTTCCGTGGTGTGGTCACGTGCTTCTGCTCCCTCACAGGCCAACCCTAGCGCTGATCTCTACTACACCACATTCAGCGACCCTCTCTATGTGGCCATGTTCAAGATGCTGCGTGACACTCTGTACTACATGAAAGGTACGGACGGTTTGCGCCCGCGTGTGACTGCGGTGACACCGGGTTCCAGGCCACTGCCGCAGGTCTGTGCTTCCTTTCTGCTGGGGCCCCTTAAAAACACACGAGTAACATGGTCCCATCACCGAAATTTGGGGAAAAAAGGCAAATAAGAAAAAAAAAATCTGTTCATGATCCTGCACCCCTAATAGCATCAATGCTGGCTCCTTTCGTGGGTTTATTTCCTCAGGGGCTTTTCTGACATGACCATGTTGTCTTGTCCTGATCACCCGATCATGTATATAATTTATCATGTCTATTTTAGACATTTCAAAAAGTTTAAAAAATAAGAAAATGAGGACTTCATAATCTTATAACTCAGAGAAAATATCTTAATAGTTTAGCACGTGCACACACACAAATTTAGCCTTTCCTTCCAGTTTCCCTTTTGTGCATTTTTATTTTTTTTTAATTTTTTAATTTTTTAAAGATTTTTAAAATTAATTTATTTATTTGACAGCACAAGCAGGGGGAGTGGCAAGCAGAGGGAGAGAGAGAAGCAGGCTCCCCACAGAGCAGGGGGAACCCGATGTGGGACTCGATCCCAAGACCCCAGGATCATGACCTGAGCCAAAGGCAGTCGCTTAACCAGCTGAGCCACCCAGGCACCCCATTCCCTTTTGTGCATTTTTAAAACATGTTTCCTGCGTTCTTTTATGTTACAGAATGTTCTCCATCAACATAAGTTTTGATGGCCATGTAGTATTCTATCAAGCAGATGTACTATAATCTAGTTAGCTGTTTTCCTAATTTGGTTCCAAGAACTCCTGGGAATCTGTGTCTGGCTGGGGACCCAACAAGTATTAGGTTCACAAAGAAGGGTGGAAGGGACTGCCCTGCCCAACCTGACCTTCAGATGCCCTGACGCTTCTCTCCCCACCTGAGCCTCATGTTGCTGGCTTCCTTGGCTCTTCTGTCTTGTGCCCATCATGGGGATTCTCCTGATTTTTCCAGGCCCCAAAGATGAGAGTTGGAAGAAGCTGTGAACTCTGGGCGCCCCAAAGATGTAGCCCTGTAGCCAGGGATTCTCTTCTTCAGGCTGCAACCAGTTTTTCCCCTTAGCTGATAGCCAACAACCTTTTCGTTAAAAAAAAAAAAAAAATCACTAAAGTATTTCTCCTTGTTAGTTGGACCAGTTCCACCAGTGATACATCCCAGTTTCTGTGTTTCAGACATTCAGGTTTTAGTATATTGACTGCTTAAAACACAGCATTTGCTCTCACTTCCCTGGGAAATGGTCATTTTCTCTGAGTGCCTGGTAGCACGTGTGCCGAGAGTAGGCACTCTTTTCTTTTTTCTTTCTTTCTTTTTTTTTTTGAGAGAGAGAGCACACGCGTACGTGCGTGTGTGTGTGTGTGTGTATGAGAGAGAGAGAGAGAGCAGGTGGGGAGGGGCAGAGGGAGAGAGAGAATCTTAAGCAGGGGCTCGATCTCATGACCCATGACCTGAGCTGAGATCAAGAGTCAGACGCTTAACCCACCGAGCCACCCAGGTGCCCCCTGCAGCGGCCACTCTTACAACCAGAGGAGCCAGCAGCAGACCTACTCCTCTTGGGTTTCTGTTAGAGTGGGAGAGACCGTAGAGCTACTGCCTGAATTTTCGTGGTTTGTTTCCACCTGCAGTGCCTGTTCTCTTTCCCACAGACCTCCCAACCTCCTTTGTGAAGGAGATCCATGATTTTGTGCTGGAGCAGTTCAACACGAGCCAGGGGGAGCTTCAGAAGATTCTGCATGATGCAGACCGGATCCACAATGAGCTGAGCCCCCTCAAGCTGCGCTGCCAGGCAAACGCTGCCTGCGTGGACCTCATGGTGTGGGCCGTGAAGGACGAGCAGGGTGAGCATCGGCCACTGCCGTGCCCCAGATATCTGGTACCCTGTCCTCAGGCTGAGGAAACTGGACATGGGAGGAGGTGATGGCCAGGGCCACAGGGTCTGTGTGTCCTCTCCATAGCTTCTTGATGGTTCTTTAGGCTTTTATGTGGAGAAGTGGGAGCTCCGTGCCAGAGGAAAAGGTGCTTTTCCAGCAAAATGGGAAGTGTGTGGCAGACTGTGGATGGCTGCCACGTGCAGAGCACTGGGGACGAGAGGCTCAGGGCCAGCAGAGAGGAGAGAGCAGTCACACGCCACATGGGTTGGTGTTTTCACAACAGCAGAAATGGAGCAGGGATGAGGTTTCAGTTAAGGATGCCTGCCTGCCTGTAAATACTTTCTGGTATAACTACTCATTATTAATAAAGCCTGCAAAAAGTATGCCCCTGGGCATTTAATTGTATGATCAATTGGTGAACAAGTATTTTGTAAATATTGGCCTTCGCGAATCATCCATACCCTCCTCTCATTTTTTTGAATTTAGGTGCTGAAAATCTTTGCATCAAGCTCTCTGAGAAGCTGCAGTCTAAGACGTCCAGCAAAGTCATCATTGCTCATTTGCCCTTGCTTATCTGCTGTCTGCAGGTCAGTCTCACTGACACTTGCAAGGCTTCGATCCCATCAACTAGGGCAGTCTTCTTGTTATATCATTTAGGCTCTGGTTGGCATACCAGCAGCAGAACCTGAGCTGTTGTCTTTAGGAACTTGAACTAGAGCCTACTGTAGACACAGTTCATCGATGAGTGGGGGGCTGCTGCTGACAGTGTGCCAGGGATTTCTGTGATTTCCAGGCGCAGCTGAGTCCTCCTTTGTGGAGAGGCCACCCTGTGTCTACTGGGCTGTTCCCAAGGCTGCAGGCAAAGTCCGGAGGACACCTCCTGATGTCTGCAGTGCCGGCTCTGCTCTCAGAGACTCTCACCTTGCCAAGTTACTAATCCCAGTTAGCATAGCTGCCATTGTTCAGAAATCATGTTGTGTATCCTTTCTCCCCTAAATTCGCTTCCAAAAGAAATGGACACACTTTAGCAATATATCTCCCCTTTAGGCTGAGCAGAGTCTAGACCATTCTCCTTTCCTGTCTTTTTCTGCCCCGTGAGCAAAGTGGCCCTGTTTTGACCTTGGAAGTTTCTGGTCCAACTCGGGTATCTGAAAGGTTGGGTGTCTATTGCTTGGGCCTGCTCAGTGGCTACAACTCACGTTGTATGATGGGTTGATGGTGTGTTGCAGGGTCTGGGCCGCCTGTGTGAGAGGTTCCCGGTGGTGGTGCATTCAGTGACGCCGTCTCTGCGGGACTTCCTGGTTGTCCCGTCCCCTGTGCTGGTGAAGCTCTATAAGTGCCACAGTCAATACCACACAGGTAACAGATGGCTGTACCCAAGGCCACTTCTCCAGCTCCTAAATCCCATGTGTCCCTGAGGCTCCAAGAAAAGGACCGCGTGACCTTGTGTGCCAGCCCGCCATGGTTTTGTGACTGAGAGCTTGTGGCTGGCCTATGCGCCCTGCCCTGTCCTTGGGCTCATTCCTCCTTTATGCCTTTCCTCATGGCTTTCCCTACATGACCCCCGCTGGGCTCCAGTTCTTTCCTTCCTTCCCCTTCCCTGGCATATACTCCTGCCACCACTGAGGGGTCTTCTAGTTCCACTTTCTCTTTGTTTTTGGCTCCTTCTGTCACTGAGACAGTCTAAAGCGTGAGTCCAATGTGTCCCAGACACTGGGCCAGGAGCTCTCCATGCTGGATCTCAGCTAGTCCCTATCCCTGCCTCGTGAGTGTATTATCATGTTTCTATGACAGGGACATGGGCTCAGAGCAAATCTGGCCACCTGTAACCATTAGCATTCATTAATACCTGCTTCCTCCTGGGGCTTTAATGTTGTATTGCTCATCCCACCCACTCAGTCCTGTGAAGGTGGGTGCTTTATCTTCTCCCTTCAGATGAAGAAACCCAATCTCCAAGCAGATGAGACGTTTCCCTGGACGCCGGGACAAGGAGGAGTCTCTGTGGCTCTAAGGCTCCTGCTCTCACACTCACCCCCCACCCTTACTGTTTTTGTGCACATTAGCTACATAACCCTCGGGGACAGAACCACGCCTCACCCTCAGGGCTGGGTACCTGTGGGTGTTCATCAGGACTTTCAAACCATTTCTTAAGAAATTGCTGTGGTACCCATTTATCATTTTGCAACCTAAATATTCTTCCTTTTGTTTAAGCATGTTCATTTCATCCTTTCTGTTCTCACTTTTGTTTCTGAAATGTTTGGTCAAATGATCTTAGAGGGGTTGTTTCATAAGCTAAAAATGATCAGTATATTATTTTGGTTTTGAATTACGGACAAGGGGATGGAAAGTGACAGGTTTAACCAGATACATACTTGAATTTTTACGTTTAGTTGCTGGCAATGATATAAAAATCAGTGTAACCAACGAGCATTCTGAGTCAACCCTGAATGTCATGTCGGGAAAGAAGACCCAACCCTCCATGTATGAGCAGCTCCGGGACATTGCCATTGACAACATCTGCAGGTGGGAGACCGGCCAGAGGGGTGGGTGACATGGGGAGGAAGGAAATAGGCTTCAGATAAAATTACTAAAAAATAAGAAACGTTCATAATTTTTTAAAGCTTGTTTCAGATTATTATAAACCTACACCTGATTTTAAAAGAGGAATCATTACATATTTTTTAATGATTTTTTTAAAAGATTTATCCATTTATTTTAGAGAGAGAGAGAACACATGCATGCATGCGCAGGAAGGAGGAGCAGAGGAAGAGGAGAGAGAGTCTCAAGCAGACTCTGTGCTCAGTGCAGAGCCTGATGTGGAGCTCGATCTCATGACCCCGAGATCACAACCTGATCCAAAATCAAGAGTCAGATGCTTAACTGGCTGTGCCACCCAGGCACCCCACATATTTTTTTTTTAAAGATTTTATTTATGTTGAGAGAGAGAGAACACAAGCTGTGGGGGGGGGGTTCAGGAAGAAGGGGCAGAGGGAGAGGGAGAAGCAGACTCTCTGCTGAGCAGGGAGCCCAATGTGGGGCTCGATCCCAGGACCCCTGGGATCATGACCTGAGCCAAAGGCAGATGCTTAACTGACCGAGCCACCCAGGCGCCCCTATTTTTTTTAATAAAGCTTGTTTTTTTTTTTTGATCATAAACATAATTAAAAAATGGGAGAGAAAATTTATGGAACGTAGAAAAAAAGTAGAAAGAAAAGAGTTATCCATCAGCCTATACCATCCAGAGTAACAACACATTGTCACGTTTTCTGTTTTTTTTCCTTGTAATTTTTAGTGTAAGAGACGGGTTTTATGTGATTTATATGATTGAGTGCTGCCCAGGCTCCTGCTATGTGAACTCTTGCTCTCCAAACTCAGAAACCACATACATTCTGATTTATATGAAAATGTATCTCTCCCTCTGAATTCTGGCTCCATGCTCTCAGAAGCCCCATCAAGAGAATATGATGGCCCTCTCTGTCAGACACATGCTCTTCTCTGACTCTGGCCTGGGAGCCAAACAGGTGTAGAGAGCGAGAGATGCCTGAAAAAATTCTGTGTCCTTAGGGGCTTTTAAAATTACCCCTTTTCTTTAGAAAAAAGTTTTTCTCCAAACTATTAAAACCTTGGTATATCATTTAATATTCCCTCAGCTGTCTTGGGACCATCTGTCTTGAATCAGTTACTGTAACTTTTGTTAAGGAACTGTTCTGGAAATTTTAAATTGAATTAGGGTGAGTGTAACATTCTGAAGGAAACTGTTCTGGTCAAATAATGAAGTTACTGTTTCTGACTGAGATATTTATCAAGTGGGCAAAATCGGCAGCGATTCTTTGAATTCATTCTGTGTAATGATTTTCATTCAGATTTCTGGGGGAAAAATGCTCAGAGCAGTTCTTTAAACTCTGTAGACCTGACAAAGAGACCAAAAGCAAACACAAAGCACTCATCTGTTGTTCTGATGCCCAATGCTGTGTGGGTTTCCTCACGGTCCAGGTGCCTGAAAGCTGGCTTGACGGTGGACACGGTGATCGTGGAGGCCTTCCTGGCCAGCCTCTCCAACCGGCTCTACATCTCCCAGGAGAGCGACAAGTACGTCCCATCCTCAAGGGGCAGCCACTTGTTCTCTGCAGGCATGTTGGGGGGCCACCTGGTATCTCGCACATCTGTGCTTCTTTCTTGCACAGTGTGGAGTCGTGCATCAGGTCTGTCCCACAATTTAAGGTGAAACCCACCTTAGAATGTTGATCCTGGACCACTGTTTGGGAGCAGAGAAAGATCTGTGTCTTACTGCCTAGAGCCAGGGACTTTGTGTTTCTTCAGGAAGTAAGGATTCCAGGGTGCCACGGTCGGATGACTGCTTCATCTGAAAGACTGTGGTAACCTTGGGGTCCAGGCTGTAGCTTCTGGGTTTCATTTCACAGAGGACTGTTCCCAGGATGCTTCTGTTTCCTCCCTCCCACAGGGACGCTCACTTGATTCCTGACCACACCATCCGAGCCTTGGGACACATTGCGGTGGCCCTGAGGGACACCCCAAAGGTCATGGAGCCAATTCTGCAGATCCTGCAACAGAAATTCTGCCAGCCCCCCTCCCCCCTTGACGTGCTCATCATCGACCAGCTGGGCTGCCTGGTTATCACCGGAAACGTAAGGCAGGACCTGCAATGAAACCCACTATCCTCTGCAAGCTTTGTTACTTTGACTATCAGGAGTGCAAAAATAGATTAAATTTGCCCTTCAGATAAGTTAAATGCTCACAACTGTCTTGACATTGAACAGGGAGACTTTTTTCCAAGTAAAAGAGAATAGTGTGATGGCTCTGTAAGTGCTGGGAAAAGGAGGTTTAAACTCATTTCTTGCCGATGTTAATAACATGTAATAGGATTTAATTTGAAACCATTTCCCTTTTAGCTTTTGAGGTTTGCTGAAAGCTTTAGGAATGGATCCCCCCTGATGGTCTTTCAGGCCCTTATGGTCCATACATTCCAGAAGCTTTTGCTCTGAATGATGGTAGAGGAGCCTTTTCCATGTTCCAAGGAGGGGCTTTCATGGAGAAGTCATGCCATGGTAACCGTGTACCTCACTCTTCCAGCAATACATTTATCAGGAAGTGTGGAATCTCTTCCAGCAGATCAGCGTGAAGGCCAGCTCTGTCGTGTACTCAGCCACTAAAGATTACAAGGATCATGGCTACAGGTAATTCTCTAGACCTTGTTGTCACTCTAGATCGTGACAGTTTTCAGCTCCCTTTAAAAGTATGAGGCTTGGGGATTTGTCTTTTGAATAAACTTTTTTCCTACAAAAGCATTATGTGCTACAAATCAGCACATGCACAAGTGGGAAATGAAGACCCCATGTGACTGCCACTGGGAGCTGAGCATCTCAGTGTCATTACCTCAGACCCTCCCTGACTCCAGACAGGCTCAAAATGTCCACCCAGCTGACGGGCTTTTTTATGTAACAGCGCATCAGCCATGCCATTAACCTTCTTCCATGTGCCGCCTTTAATGGCTGCAGAATGTCCCATCTTAGAGCAGCACCGAGATCTAACCAGTCCCTAGCTTGGAGGTTAGTTTGCCAGTTTTCCTGCTGGTAAGTGCTACACCAAACAATCTAATAGCTGTGTATCTGTGAGCGTCTCTGATGCTTTCCTCAGGATAGATTCAGAGAGGTGGGATTTGGAGGGTCAAAGGGAATAGACATTTTACATGCTCAGTTGTTTGATATTTGTGTAAAGTCTGGCCAGTTTTCCCAGCAGACTAAGATATGCTTCCTTGCCTGCTCCTTGCCCTTACTGTGAATACCTTGAGGGCAGGGACATGTTTTTCCACATATGGAGGATCTCATAAGAGTTTGACAGATCAAGGGAAGAGCGGGACAGAGGAGTGGGGCAGGGAGGAAGAGATGTGCCCCTTTGTTGGCATTTCTTTTCTCTCTTTCTGACCTTTATGTGCAGGGCTCAGTCTGAGGTTCTCTCCAACTCACTTCAGTGGGTGGGAGTGTGGCTGTGTGACCTTTGAAAAAGCTCACCCTCTCTGTGCCTTTGTTTCTTCATCTGTCATCCGTCAAATGAACATCTGTCTCCAGTTGTGTGGGTAATTGAGATCGTATACAGGAAAGCTCTTGATAAATGCAAGCTCTTGGCCTTGTCATTTCTTTTTCTTTTTTTTTTTTTT